TAGTCAAAATATACAAAATATAATATAATGGCTAAGGATAATATTAATAACAACATGAACAATAATTTGAGAGCAAAATTGTTGCCATTACTAGGTATGATGGCAACAATATTTGCATGTGTTGTGGCTTCTTCTAGATATGCTGAAGCGTCTTCGGAACAAGCTGCCGAATCTTCTGAAACACTTAAGCCAGAGGATGTGATGAAAATGGACGATTATCGGCTAAAGGTGTTTGCGCAAGAGCTTATGTCCGGAGACGCCACCGCGCGTTCATCAGAAGATCACAACGAGTCTTCGGACGGGGCTTCTGCCAATGATGCGGCAAAGACGGATGATGCTCAGATGAAGGCGTTTGCACAAGAAATGTTAGCCGGAGACCCAGGTGCCAGCGGTGGGGCCAGGGATACTACCGCAGACGGAGTCAAAGGGAAAGGGACGTTCGAAGGCGTGTTTAACAATGCATTTTACACGGGAGGCGGTGCGGGGAATGGCAACTTCCCGAACACCGGGTACGACGCGAGCGCGTGTTGGTACCGGTGTGCCTCGAAGGGAATCCAATATTGCGGGACCGTGCAGTCGGAGTTCTTGCGGAAGGCTTGCCTCCATGCCTCCGGGAAAGGGTGCAATATTTATTGTGGCAATCAAATAAGTCAAGTCAATCAACGTTGGTAATCATACAATACGTTTTCCTAAATATTCCAAATAGATGGACACATATACTCTTTCAAAAGAACATGTTGTTTTAGAATGAATCTTTCTGATAAAGATTATGTTTATTATATCCACCTCAAAATTTCTAATTTCAATTCAAAATAAATTTTCAACATTCATTGCTCGATTAACGTTGGAGTATTTTAAATTTGTTTAGAAAATATAGATAACAAAAATTAGTGAGCGTATAATTATGTCCTAAATAGAAAAAAGATTGGTGGGGTTTTATATGAAGAAAAAAAGAATTAAAATTTGACAAATCTTCTCTTTTTAGTGCTATTTTTAGTAAAAAGCTAGTCATAATAGTAAACTCGATGAAAACTGTTGCTTCATCTAGATACCCCATATTTTCTAATGTGTATACACTCAATTTTTCATGAGTAAATTCTATAATTGGTCTTTTATAAGATAACGTTTTTCCTATTTAATCCTCTATTATCAAGTATTACACCCGCGGTCCTTCTTTTATGAGTATCTTTTTACAAATAGTTCTTTTTTCATCTTCTATCATGTTGGTGTTAATTTGAGGGCTAAAAGTGTAGTTTCCTAATGATAATATTTTTTTTTGTCATACACAATTCCAAAGGCTGTTCCGTTTGCATCGTTTGTGAATTATAATCGCTTTCTACTACAACCATAGTCTATAACTGTGGTCTTTCGTCGGAATCCTAGCCCACAATCATAGTCATTATTTTTGTGTTATCCGCTTAACCAATATCAGAACACGTCATTAGACATAATGTTGATGCCAAATTATACTATTAGCCTTTAAATTAACCCTAACATAACAGAAGATCAAAAAAGGACCATTTGTGGAAAAACACCTTTAAAAAAAGACTACGAGGGTGATATTTTATAATAGAGGACTAAATTTGGAAATTCCATGTTATAAATGACCAATTATGGAATTTACTCATTTTTCTTTGTATTGGCATTTGTAATAAGCGTGTATGCTTAGTATAGAGTTTGTTCTCTTCGATTTATTCTTAGTAGTAATTACTTATTCTTTTTTAAATAAGATAAAAAAATCGGAAATGGTTTTAAATAAACTAGAATAAAATTAGATCAAATCAGATTTACGTACATTTAATGAACATGGCTATGATGAAATCTGCGTACAAATATCATTTTTCCAAATATTAATTTTGATAAATTTTACTACATCTGTTGTTGTTGTTGTTACTAATTTTGAAAGTAACCATTATATATACACACTAGTTATTTGTATGTACACCAACACCAAGTTATTTTCATGTCACATATAATAGTTAATAGCTGCATGAGTATATCATTAAGTACAAATATGTTTTTGAGACAAAATTTAAGGATATCTTGTTGCAATGTTTGGGTAAGGCCAATGATATCTGCGCTCCAAAGTTTACTTGTTTTGCTCCACATTTTTTATTTTTACACAAATGGGACAATATTACCCTTTAATTATCCTACCTTTAATTTTAATTTTTCGCACATGTACAATGGCACAAACACATCATTCTTTGTTAGTCACTGGTTAAAAATAATAGAGTTATGTTAGGTGTTGTGTTTTTTTTGTCTGATCTGAGTTCTGATTATTAATTAATTCATCAACATACTACCTCTCTCCATTATTATTTATCCCGTTTTACTTTTTTTCAACCAAAATTGAAAAAATTTGACTATTGATTCTAATATTTCAATAAAATTTATGTTATTAAGTATCTTCAAAATATTATTTAATTAAATTAATGTACCATGTAGTTTTTATTTAATTATAGGATAAAAGTCCATCATGATTGACTGAAAAATTCAAAGCTGAATAAATACTTAAGGACAGAGGTAGTATAAGACAACAACTAACATTTATTTTAGGTTTATTTAGTCTATGAAATTACATAATCTTTTATTTGTATATGTCCCGAAAAATTGATCACTCTTTATCTCCTTTTTTTAGAATATATATGTAGTCCGATCCAAACATATTTCATATTATTATTATTATATTAATCATAAATAATATTAGAATAGTAATTATTATTTAATTGTACGTAACATTAAAAATGTAACTTCATTTAATCGTATAACAAATATTATTTTTTCATAGACAAAATATTATAGAGAAGCATTAATTTTTAATATTTTTCTAGCTTGATATAATCAAAATAGATCTAATCTCATGATCTGATATGAGAAAAATAAGTAAACAACAAAAAATATAAGTTGAATAAAACAAAGTCTGTTTATATAGTTTTTAATTACATAATTTTTATTTTGAAATATCAAAATGCTATTTAAGTAAATTAGAATTTAAATTAAATTCAACCAACCATTAGAATCTAAACTTAGATTTTAGTTTCAGAATAAAGAGATTATACAGTTTTTTTATTGAAAAAATAAAAAAAATAAACAGATGGGAGGAATGGGGCTTAAGAGCACTGGTAATACCTTTGAAGCCCCGGGGCTTCAAAATTTCTCTCTCTGCCACGTCAGCTTTAACTTACACCAAAAATTCACTGGAAATGGGTTTGAAGCCCCGGGGCTTCAAACTGGGGCTTCAAACCTTTATTTTTTACATTTTTAAATATACATCTTCTAAATTTAAATTAATTTATTATTTAATAATATTCAAACACGAATACAAAAAAATACATTCATTAAAATAAAAAAACGACAATATTAAAAAATATATATTAATTAAAAAAACTAAGGTAAATTATATTTCGCCTTGATCTCTCTTTGTCTTTGCTCGTATATCATCCGTTTGAAACCCGACAACGTAGAAAGGTCAGTTTCCATGATTTTAAATAAAAAAATTACATTCATTAAATTAAAAAATTGCATGCATTATAAAAAAACTACATTAATTAAATAAAAACATTACATTCATTAAATAAAAAAATTACATTCATGAAAAAATAAGTAAAATACTTGAATAATAATTTTTTTAAAAAAATGATAGATAGAGAGAATTTTGTATTTGTGTTGAATTTTTTAAAAAAATTAAATTTAATTTATAGAGAAAAAAAGAAGAAAAAAGAGGGAGAAAAAGGAAGGAAGAAGGCGTGATAATGCCTTCAAACCGCGTCAAACCTTTAACGCAAGTATTTTAACGCCCTTTTAACAGGGAAGGGGGGCGGTGTTTCACGCCCCCCAGGCGTCAAAACTCGCCTAACGCCCCTTGGCGTTAGCAGTATTTCCACTGCTCCAAGTGATAAACATTATGGTGTAAAATGAAGATGGGAATTCATAGAAAGGACAACATTGTCCATCTTAAAAATAAATTTAGAAGTGGAGCGTAGCTCGCAATTTGTGGAGCTCATCATTGCTCAAATATCAATTCCCTTTGGGTAATCTTCTAAAAAATAATTTCAAGTATAAATCTTGCTGAAAAAAAGTTCCAAGTTTTGCATCTCTCGAAGAATAATCCACACCCTAAAGGCGTTAGATTTTCATTATTGTTTTTTTTTAAATTATGATAAAATACAATTATACGAGGACTGCAATATGGTAAAAAAAAATGTGTAGAAAGAGATTTGAAATTTGAAAATAAAATATTTTGATGGTGGAAATTGTTTAAAGCAAGATTTTTTTAAAGCAGCATGTTTTTTTCGGAATCTACAAGTCAAATAAAAAATGTATTAAGTGGATAACCCTATTGGCCTAAATGGCTAAAATGACAATAAAAAAACAAAAAAAAAAAAAAACTCCGAACGTGTTAAAATAGAGCTCGAGGAAAAAGTTCCATGCCCTGTGGGTAACGTAGAAAAAGTCCTAATTTAGTTCAATTCAAGCTTTGTTTGAAAATAACATTTTAGTTGTACAATTTATATTAGTGTTCTTTGGATACTCCGAGTTTTTTAATGATACAAATCACTTAAAAATGTTACCATTAATAACTATCCGTCAATAATATTTTCAAACACATGCGGATTAGAATTTCAGAGTTAAATGTTTGAAAAAATTAGAAAGAGTCGACGAAACTAGGAGTAAGAAAAACTTGAAGAAGTTAAAAAATGGTAGAAGAATTTAAGTGTTAAAAAATCAATCAATTAAATGATCACCGAAATAAATATTTTATAAAATTATAAGTTTGGATTAAAAAAAATAATTATTGTTCGTGTTTGAAGTGGTATGCTTTAAATTTAAATATATAATGTTATTGCATATATTCATCATATATAAATACTTTTTTAAGTTGTTATTAGAAGAATTTAGAAGCTGGAAGAAACTAAAAGGAGTTACAAGAAACTTGAAAACTTTATTTTGGAGTCCATAAAAGGAACACCAAATATACAGTGTATTTTAATATTCAAAATTTCACAATGCATTTCTTGTAAAGTCAAGCAAAGAATTTAAAATAAAAGTACTTCACACAACAAAATAACGTCAAAAAACATCATCAAATCAAAGAGTAAATGTGGGTAAGAAAGCATAAAAGCTTTATGGAAATTGCACTTTCTTGAAAATGGGAAAATACAAAGAGTAATAAATCTCTCATCCTCGAGATCTCCAACCAATCTTGAGAAGCAAAAACGGCCCTGAAGATGGCAGTCTTTTGGGGGAAAAAAGATCTTATTCCAATATGTGTGACTCATAGAAATGCCAAAATTTCAATAACTATAAAAATCAAATCTCCCTAAAATCCCAGTCATTTAGTTGTCACCAACCTCGATCAACGTGGTTTCGTAGTCGTCGGGTGCTTCGAAACCGTGCAGATTCATAACAGTTGCAGCAACATTGGCAAGCCCTCCTGTCGGGACATCTTTGCGGAATCTCACTCCGGGTGCCAATCCCGGACCACCAATTGCAATAGGCACCTGAAACAAACCAAACACAATGAGAAGGGAACGAGAATTCAAAATAAAACCATAACGAAAATAAACCCAATGTAATCTCAACACCATTGGGGTCTTTGGGTCAAGATGTACACAGTCTTGCCGCATTTGCTACCCAAAACTTCATTGAAAGTAAGGTGCAAAGAAAGTTTAAGGTTTCATTATGATTTGGTCCATTATTCCAAACAAAACCAGACCAGATGTATTTTGGTTTTAGGTTGGTAGTGTTTATCCAAAACCGTAAGAACGCAACTAAAAAAAAAGCACAATACAGCCCCAATTAGAGCCAAATTAACAAACCAAACCAACTTAAATTTGGTTTAAATTTGGCAATCATTTTCCATGTGTGTTCTGAACCAAATCAAGGTTGTGATGGAGGGTCCAGGCAGCTCCCAGAACTTGAATTATGACTTGAAAATAAAATGTCAACACATCAACTGGTGCACCAATGCCTAGGAATTACCCAATGTGAAAGATAATACTTATAATCTATAAATCATACGTTTGAGCCGGTCACGGCAGAAATTCTAGGATGAAAGTTGTTTTGGGCTTAGAATTGATGGATGATCAAAGGTTTAGCACAACCTTTTGCACCATGATGACTAAATGCAGAACCAAGTTCAACCAACATTTGAAATGATATAAATAGTAACTGGCATTTCTATGCATAGTTGAGTAATACTCACAGGTTCACAAGTGTGTGAAGTAAGGATCTGAATGTTGCCGCTTTTATCAAGTAGAGGTTTCCCTGCTTTGTTTCTCTTGACCATGTCCTCCGCATTCCCATGATCTGCAGTGACCACATAAATTCCCCCTACTTGCTCAATTGCATCTAGGATCATCTGCAGATAACAAGTTGCAACCATTAGCAAGGTAAACATGATTCAAAACTTCCTACTCAGGAACAAAATAAATTGCAAAAGAAAAAATTAATGTCTCCTAATGAGACATTGTCACACAAGCATTTATGATGGAAGAAAATTGTATAAATATATATCATGAGGTCATGGACATATACAACAGGCTCGCATATAAGGCTGGGCATTGAATGTTAGATAGCCAATGTTTTAAATGTTAAGCAAGCAAGCAAAAATTATTACTCCCTCCGTCCCAGTTGAAACTTCTCAGTTTGACTTGGCACGGTTTTTAATGTAGTGCTAACTTTTCCTTGACTTTCCACATTTGCCCTTTTGTTTTTTCATTTATTCTATCTGTTATCCTCTCTCAAATCCACCTTGTCCTTGCGATGTTCTTCTCAAACCCACCCCATCGCTGCCATCTCCGGTGATGACAAGATTGGGCACAAAATCAAAAGACATAATTAAATTAAAGAAAAATAAAAGAGATGAGGAGAGATCTATTTTAAACCCACCCATGCTGCTAAAAATTCCATCACCTCGTCACCTGAGGAAGATGGATGGGATCTTTAAGTTTTTCCCTTGGATCTTGCCAAAATCAAAATAAAATCAAAACTTTTTTCATTGGGAAAGGGGCAGACTATGGATCTAGATGATGGAGGAACGAAAATNAGAAGGGGGTGCCGAAGAAGAACATGTAAGGTGGGGTGGGGGTTGATGAAGACGAAGAAGAAGGGGTGTGGACTGGGGAGTGGGGAGTATCTGAAGAAGGTAAACATTGAAAAAGAAAAAGAAATGGAAGAACAGAAGAACAAGGAAAAAGAAGAAAAAAAGATTGGGGTTGGGGGGTTTGACCGAGAACAAAGGAAAAAGAAAGAGAAGTGTGGAGAGAAAGAATAAATGAAGAAAGGGCAAATTGGTAACTATACATACATTTTAATTCCATTTAAGGAAATGGGAAGAATCAAGTGGGACGGCTAAAAAAGGAAAGTGAGAAGAAAGATATGGGACGGAGGGAGTATAAAATAATAATATATTATCTCAAATCAGAAGATTGTGATATCCCAAAGGAAACACTTTTGAAAGCATGAAACCTCAGAGCAGTTACCTTGACAGCTTGATCAGCAGCCTTGCAGGCATCAATTGTAGCATGGATATCACCGGTATGACCCACCATGTCACCATTTGGGATATTAACACGTACCTTGAAAGATTTCCACGATAAAGTCAAGTTATGCACATCAACTTCTCTACTGCTAGTTTATTTATTCTATGTATCGAAAAAGTCATGAATTACTACCTGATCAAACTTCCGGCTAAGAATAGCATCCCTCGCCTTTTCAGCAATCTCAACAGCTTTCATCTTTGGCTGGACATTGAATGTTATTCCAACATCACTTGGAATTTCAACATATTCTTCCATATCAGCATTGAAATATCCAGAGCGGTTTCCATTCCAGAAAAAGGTGACATGACCAAATTTAACAGTCTCACTGTCAAGACAATGAATATGAAAGGTCAAGTCAAGGCTTCATCAGACCAGAGAACCTTAGAAGTCAACAAACTAAATACTACCCCCAACACAAATAGTCTTGTTTGACAAAGGTACAAATTTTCTATTCTAGCAAAGTACAACTTGCAAAGATCATGAATTCTACTTAGATTTTGAAAAACTATCGGTTTAACTAACTTTAGCATACATAACTTGAATTTGTGCCTTTTTGGAAAATTATAACAAATGTGCTTCATATGATCATTAAAGGCTAGTTTTTTACGATGGAAAGCGTATAAACTAGACCCTTTTTAAAGGAAGAAATTAATAAAAGAACAAATAAAGTTTCATTTTAGTTATAAATATTCACGGTTCTTGATTAGGTATTTAGGTCTAGAGACATTTATGGAAAATCTACATGCTATATTCAGCAATGATCTCACTGCAATGAACATTAGCAACTCATTCCCCCAAATACCAAGACCAATGGGGGAAAATTCCAATGCAACTTAGAAGTGCAGGGTATTCAATCCATTCATAGTTTCTTCAATAAACATTTGTGAATCAATACATAACTAACCTGCATGCAAAGGTTCGGACACCATTATGCACTAGATATTCTCCAGAAGTTCTGTCAATTTCTGGAGGAGAAACAAGGTAACAGTTAGGAAGCTTCAACTCCCCATCATATTGAAGCATACCGGCATAACGAATCTTAGGAAATCTGACACGGTCAAATTTGTCAAAGTTTTCATACTCGAGAGCCTTTGCCATCATAACCATACGGTCTGCTCTAAAGTTGATAGTTACAACCGCATCACCATCCACAATAGGCCCAACAGCTTTCCCATTGTCATCAACAATGACAAATGGAGGTAAGTACTGATCATTAGCTTTAGGAGCCTCTCTCAGCTTCTTGATTGCTTCAACAGGATTCTTAAACTTGTTTGGAGCTTCACCTAGCACTTGGGCATCCCAACCTCTCTTGACAACATCCCAATCATTCTGCACAGCATTGAGGAATTATTCAGTACCAAGTTCTTTTATTTGTGAGAGCATGAATAATCTTGTGTGATGCTCAAGTTTTGCACTGACCAAAATAGTATTAAATGGAGATTTATAAATTTACACTTTGTTGTCACCACTATTAGGTAATCCCTATTTTTTGTCACTAACATTCATTTTTTCCACCTTTTGGTGCAAGACTCTACATTCCTTACCAACCAACTTTGTATTCATTCCTATGTGAGAATGGACTGATAGTAGTGGAGCCAAAAGCTCCATATTTCAATGGAAATACAATTTTTATTTGTGTAATTTAGCATTAATTCATGAACCCGGAGTCTCTTGGAAACAACCTCTCTATTTTGGAGTAGAGTAAGGTCTACATACACACACCCTCTCCAGACCAAGCTTTTGTGGAATTTTATTGGGTTGTAGCATTAATTCGCGATACAATTAAGACAGTATTGTAGCACGCTTCATTTACCTCATATCGATCCATTGTGACGTACATGCGGCCTCCACCTGAAGCAACTTGTGCATCAATACCATTTGCACGTAGGTTTGCCAAATCATTTTCAAGGGTTTCCATAAATCCTACACTTGAACCATCAAGGACGTCACGTCCATCAGTGAGGGCATGGACACGAATTCTTTTGGCACCATGTTCAGCTGCACCTTTCAGCAGCAACTGCATTTAGAAGCAGTACAGAGTTTTCGTTCGTTCAGAAGCTATTTTGATAAGTAAAAATAAAGCAGAAATAGAATCTATGCAGAATCAGTGTAAATCAGACTGCCATTATCACAATCCAATTTAGAAGCAATGAAATACCTGCAGTTGGTCAAGCCTGGAGTGAACCCCTCCATCACTCAGTAGCCCAATTAGGTGCAAGGTTCCAGTGGCAAAACTTTCTTTTATGTAATTGAAACCCTCTCCATCATATATCTTACCAGAGGCAAGGGCTAGGTCTACAAGCTTTGCACTACATTGAAGAACAAATACTAGTTCACTAACTCAGGGAGCAGAAATTACGAACATGATTTAGAAGACCGAATGACATACTTTCTACAACCACCAACAGAATCATCAAAACCAAATATCTAAATTGCAAGAAATAACTTTCTACTAATATCCAAAAGCAACCCAAAACCTATTTTGATTTTAGGAAGATCATCCAATAGTAAAACATTATAATTAGAAGCTTCGCATCGACAAGTATAACTAATCTACGGTTTGAAACAGCAAGAAAAAACAGGAATGACATTATCAAGGCTTAACAACAAGTCACAGATCATGGAAGAGAGAAAAAAAAAAAGAAGATACCCTTGCGCAAATATCCTCCCAGCACCAAGCGCATTGTGTCCGACCTCACTGTTACCCATATCGTCCTCTGTGGGAAGCCCCACTGCCTTACCGTGTGCCTTGATCAATCTCCATCTGTCCGGAAGACCCTTCAAACAAACCACGAACACAAAGTCAAACACACAAAATCCATGGAGATCCCGTTCCGCCTATCATCAATTATCATATCTCAAATCAATACGGAGTTAATTGCGATCTATCAGAATTACAATCCAGAAACGCGATTCAAACACTCGGAAACCATTAAAGAACAAAAGATCGGGAAACCTTTTTGAGAGAATCCATGGTGGGAGTTTCCGCTACATGGATGGCGTTGTACTCGTTGGCCTTGGCCTCGCCCCAGCCGTCCAGAACCACCACCGCCACCGTCTTCCCCTTGGGAAGCTTCGGGTGGTCGTTCAATTTCAACAAATCTCCGGCGCTGCTGCCCATTTCTCTCCGATCTGCTCCCACTTGTTCACGCAATCAACTCAGATGAACAACGGCAATACACGGCGGAGAAGATCTGAAATCAGATCTAATAATACGAAGCAAAATTTCTCCGGCAGGAGTATACGGTATTTATAGGTAGTAGAAAAAAGATCCGATGCGAGAAAGAATATTCCGGCAATGAATTGTTCACCAAGAAAGTGGGGTTTCTTTCCAACTTTGAAAAGTAGCGGCAATGAACACGAAGAACACGGGATTTTTTATTTTACTTTTATTTTATTTTGTGGATAAATTTTAAAACATAAAAGAAAAATGCTAGGGGTACACCTTTGTGTACCTCATTTATTCCTCATCCCTTCCATCACCACAAAAAAAGGCAAGAAAATAAAAAAAAATTAAACAAATAAAAATTAAAAAAAATGTATGGTGGAGAAATGGGTGAGGGACAAATGGGGTACACCATTTGGTGTACCCCTAGCATCCCTCAACATAAAAACATCTACGGCCTATTTCAGTACGGGGTTAATTTTTAGAGCAATGCTAACCCCATTTGTCCCCCACCCCCTTGTCCACCACTCATTTTTATCTACTTTTTATTTATTTAATTTTTCTTAAAATTTTTGCATATTTTTGTGATAATGGAGGGGGTGGGGGACAAATGGGGTACACCAAATGGTGTACCCCTAGCATTTTTCTACTTTTTAATGCGGAGTTTAGGTCAATTTACTTCCCACGGAGTAGGTAGTACTTTTTTTTATTTTTATTTGGGCATGGTTTTGTTGACACTGACCAACGGTGTAACTAACAATGTCACTGTGTTTTGGAACACTTCTGACGTTCAATTCAAAAAATTAATAGTTCTTATTCCTCATAACATACTCCCTAAACAACCCCCACTCTAGCCCTACCCAAGCCCCAAATGGAAGTATTATTTAACTAATGGTGATCATTGCTGAAGACCAAGTCAATGGCGGCCAATGCTGACGACCTCACGACGACGTACGGAGACGCTCTGGCGGCGCGCAACGGCACATTGCAGTGTGGCAACGGTAGATGACCGTGAGACTATTTTTAACAATTCGAGTCTTATTTAAAAGGGAAAAAAGTCTGAAATAAAATTAAAACATTAAAAATATATCAAAATAACATTTTTACATTTTTTCTTTAAAATAAGAGTTAAAATTTATTTAAAGGGTCAATCATGATCATATACATTACCAAAAAGTATTTTGAAATGTCTATATGCAGTGTCATGTTACAGCAGTACGAACTTCTATTTTAGTGATAAAAACACAAACTTCTATTTTAGGAAAAATTGCCCAAAATAATCCCAACTTTACTCGGTCTTTCAAAAATAATCTCACCTTTCATTGTGATGCATAATAATTCCAACTTTACTGAAATTTGCCAGTTTTGGGTCACCGTTAAATTTCTAACGGAGGGACGGAAATGTCCGTTTTAGGCAACAAAATGAAAGTTGGGATTATTTTTGATGAATTTTTGTTTCTTAATTTTTTTTGAAATTTTTATTTAAATTTTTTGAATTACTTTCAACCTCCATTTCTTTTTTTTAAAGATTATTCTTACCTTAGAAAAAAATAGATATAAAAAATTATGAAAATGAGAAAAATAACTAAAACCATACAAAATTAATCAAATAAATAATGTAATCAATAGAAATTAAACAGAAACTGGTAAGAAATAAAATAAATATATATGGAGTCGTGGGTTTAACATTTTACACACTATACGGAGTCTTAATGTACTACTTATTTTTTAAAAGAACAAGCCGTCCGGTAAAGTTGGAATTATTGTAGATAATTTTTTCTAAAAAATAAGAAGTGATATGTTAATACTTTGTATAATGCCTAAAATATTAAAACTCACCCATATATTTTTATATTACTTTTTCCAATTTCAAGTTAGTTTCCATTTATAACCTTATTTATTTTATTATTTTTGTATCATTTTAGTTACATTTCTCATTTTTTCATTTTCTATATCTATTGTTTTTATTTTTTAAACTAAGACTAATCTTTAAAAAAGGAAAAAGGAATGATGATGGAGGTGGAAAGTAATTTAAAAAATTTAAATGAAAATTTCAAAAAAAATTTAAAAACAAAAATTCATCAAAAATAATCCCAACTTTCATTTTGTTGCCTAAAACGGGCATTTCCGTTAACCCTCCGTTAGAAACTTAACGACGACCCAAAACTGCCAAATTTCATTAAAGTTGGGATTATTATGCATCACAGTGAAAGGTGAGATTATTTTTGAAAGACCGGGTAAAGTTGAAATTATTTTGGGTAATTTTTCCTCTATTTTAATACTTTCTCTATGTTTTATTCTATTTAAGGTGATTTCTTTATTTTAAATTCATAAATCATCTTATCTAATAAATTTAATAAATACAATTTCAAATCTTTTGATATTCACTCTCTATACAACCCTACATATATCGAGGTAGTCCAACGATTGAAGTGTGAGAGGGTTGTAACAAAAAAAAAACAAATTTCGAATCACAATTCATACATTTTTTCTAAAAATCGTGAAGCCAAACCGAAAATTTCTTTCCAAGATAAAGAGAGCACTAGTTTGAAATAGTAAAAACCCCAAAATATTTATAATGAACACCAAATCATTTAAGAAAACAAACACCCAAATATTCAAGAAAATGAAACCATTAACTCTTCATTCTTAAGTAGGTTGGAGAGCATGTATAAACAGATATTATAGCGTCCAATAAAATATCAAAAGTACTCAGATACAAAGTACTCTCTATGTTCTAAATTAACCGTCTCACTTTCTTTTCAGTTAGTCAGACTTCTCTACCCACAAAATGTGAGCCCAATTGTTCAAATCTTTCCCCAGCAATAAAAGCATAAACCTGATCCTGCATCTGAACCCAACTGCACCCAGGCATTTTCTTCACCCCTTTCACCTTCATCAACTCCCTAACTCGATCAGCGTCCTTCCACCTCCCGGCGTCTGCATACATGTTGGACAGCAGTGCGTAATACCCGGAGTGATTTGGCTTCAGTTTGAGCAACTGATCCGCGGCCCAACAGCCCAAATCCAGCTTCCCGTGTAGTCTGCAAGCTCCAAGAAGAGCACCCCATACATTGGCATCGGCTTCAATGGGTAAGCTTTGGACCAGATGAACTGCTTCATCAACAAGGCCACATCTCCCAAGTAGATCCACCATGTTTGCGTAGTGTTTCTCTGTTGGTTTGATATCATTACAAGCAATCATCTCGTCGAAGAATCTCCTACCTTGTTCGATTAGCCCTCCATGGCTACAGGCTGATAGGACCGCGATATAGGATACTGAATCATATTTCACCCCATCATCTCTCATGGATTCGAATAAATCAATTGCAGTTTGAACTTGGCCAATCATTCCATACCCTAAAACCATGGTGTTCCAAGACGCCGCGTCCCTGTGTGACATACGGTCAAAGATCCTCCGGGAGATATCAATCTGCCCACACTTTGTGTACAAATCTAAGAGCGAATTCGCGACAAATTGATGTGAATGGAAGGTTCTCCTGACAGCAAAACCGTGGATCTCCTTTCCTTTCTTGATTTCAGAAGCGTTAGAGCACGCAGAGAGGGCCCCCACGAATGAAACAGTGTCGTGTTTCATTCCAAGCTGGCCCATTTCTGAGAAGAGAGAAAGAGAGACTTTCCAATCATTAGTCAGAGAATAACCAACAATCAATGTGTTGTAAGACACCTCATCTTTAAGGGAAATATCAAACACATTACGAGCCAGATTTAGAAACCCACATTTTGAATACATATCTATCAATGCGTTGGATAAGAATAAATCAGAGGCACACCCGCAACGGAGTGACTTCGCATGAATTTCCTTCCCAGGGCAAATGTATGCCAGCCTGGCACATGCTGGGAGAAGATTAGTGAACGTGACAGACGTTAGGTTTTCACCCTGAGCTTGCATTTCCCTCACAAGAGCTATAGCCTCTTGCTGCAGAGAGTTTTGTGCAAAGTTTGCAATCATTGCATTAAACGATATGGCATTCTTCTTGTCCATATTATGAAATACATTGGACGCTTTTGTCGAATGCCCTGATTTAGAGTACATATCAATCAGTGAGTTTGATACAAAGACATCCCTATCCAAACCCATCCTCACAGAGAAACCATGAACTTCCCTTCCCTTGCAAAAATAACCCAGTTCAGCCAAGATTGGCAGAACACTTGAAATTGTAGTAGAGTTTAAATCAACTGGCTCATAAATCATCAACCTGAGACTAGAAAATGCTTGTTCATAACACCCATTGTAACCTAAGATGACAATGATTGCATTCCATGTGACATCATTCCTCTCGGTCATCTCATCAAACACTCGTCTTGAAGCTTCCACCTCTCTGCACTTACCATATGCGTCAATTAATGCATTCCCGATGCTAAGTTGAGTATCTAAACCCACTTTGAAAATATAACAATGAACTCCTCTACCCACCTTGCTATCCTCAAGGGCTGCACAAACAGGCAGTGTGCTTACCACAGTCACATTGTTCGGCTTCACTTCAGACGCAGAAAACATTTCCTTGAACACTTTGAGCGCATCAAACCAGCAAGAATTGTCTGAAAATACCCGGATAACCGAGTTCCAAGACACCAAATCCTTCTCAGGCATTTCATCAAACACCTTTCGTGCAGCCAACGAATCCCCACAGCTCCCATAGAAACTCAACAGAGTATTATTCACATACACATCCGAATCGAAGCTCAGCTTCAACAGCATCCCATGAGCCTCCAACCCTTTCCGGACCTCCAAAAGGTCCGAACACAGCTTAAGCACAAAGGGGAAAGTGTGATCATCCGGCATAACACCTCTCCTGAACATTTCATTATACACCAAAAACCCATCCCTGCAACACACCCCAAGCATCCCATGGGCTCGAATGAGGGTGTTGTGGAGGAACGGCGAGAGAGCGAATCCGGCGCTCTGCGAAAAAAGAATCTGGCAGGTTTTCCGGCTCGACCCAAAAAGCGCGTACCGGAGAATGAGCGCGGCGGACACTGAAATGCTGGCCGGGAGGACGCCATGGAGGACGGCCTGAGCGTGAGTCTGCTGAATTTGCCGGAGAGACTGCGCCGATTCACAGAAGGAGATGATGTCCGGCGGCCGAGACCATCGACGATACTGTTGGGGAAAGTGTAGACGATTTGGGGAAAGGAGCGAGAAAGCTAAAGGAGCAAAGGGAGCATGGCGGCTATGGATGATATACATACAATAGTGTACGGACTAAACAGATCATCGGAGTCTGATCGGCGGCAATGACGGGCGGCTATCACAATTAGCCTAACCAGTCGACTGCTCTAAATTTCGGACCGGAAAAGAAAAAAAAGAGCATTCCTATTCTACCCTCCTAAATTAGTATGGGGCAAAGAGCCACAAATTATATCCTACATCCGGTTGTACGTGAAGAACCATACAGCCGGAAAAAATTAGAATCGGAAAAGGAAGAGAACGGGTCAGAGCATGGCATCCGGAAATTGAAGAGGAAGAAGAGGAGGCTGCTATGACAGGTAGATCCGATCGGATTAGGATTGTATTTTGTTTTTTCAAAATACAAATTTTATTTGTAATAGGTGAAGTACAATATTTTCTTAGTAGAGTAATCAAACTACTCCCATACAAGTTTAATCTTATTTACTACACATCCATCACTATCTTTTAAATTCGTGAGTAAAAAAAGATGTTTGATACATAGTATTTTCAATAGTGGCCCACTACCCTACTAAAAAAAGATCTTAAAAATTCAATTTTTAAAATGTTCAGGAAGGAGTAGTAGTCAAATAATCATTACCTATTTGAAAACTTCATCAAAAATTTTATAATCAAACTAGTAACATGGTTATGTAACTATTAAAAAATATATAACATAAAATAAGCTAAGAAATAAGATGTGTTCAAATCAGTGAATAATGTTCTTGACATGCTTTTGCCCCCAAAAGTCATATTTAGTGAAACCCATTGGTTCCCATGACATTGGGAATCAATGTCATGGGATGACCCGGGGTGCTCGGGTGCCCCGTTCGTAAAATTGACGATTTCTACCCCCGGAATACCCCCGACCCGACCCGAACACACCCCGCCACCCCCTTCAATTGCGCCCAAGTTAATTTTGCCTTTGTAGTCAAATTTTGACTACAAAGTCAAAATTAACTTGGGGGATGCAATTGAAGAGGGTGGTGGGGTGTGTTCGGGTCGGGGCCGGGGGAAGAAAGATAGGTAAAATGAGATAAATGTATTCGATAAACAAAGAACAGATTTAGATATATGGAGCCAAAAGGCCATTACTTTGTTTGCATATAAGAGAGAAGATTAACTAACTGCACTCTGTTCTACACTTCTACCCACCTAAAATAAAATAAAAATTATAAAAAAAAAAGAGGGAAAAAAAAAACTTACCTAATTAAACAGATATTTCCATGTCACTTGATGGCTCCCGGAGCTCAACCACACTACTGCACACCCCACCACCTATGACATTCGAAAAACCGGGTGTCCCGGCTTCATTCACATGTTGGTCCGGTTCGGCAATGTGGCCGTGCTTGAGAGCCAGCGCCTTGTGCACAGCGGTCCAATCAGGACGGCTCCATAAATACAACGGTGGCGACTTTTTGTTCCACCCTTCAATCTGATGGTCGTGCACGTCCAATGATCCGGGCAGGTAAAACGACTGCGGGCAGAAAATAAGTGGAATGACGAATCAAATGCATTGATTCAGACAAGATGAAAAATAGACAAACTGGATTGTAAATAGGTAACTGTTTAGGATATTGTCCCACACCGTAAACTAAAGCTAAAAAAGACTAATATATAAGAGGATAATGCTAGGCCACCATTCATGCCCCCAGGGATGATAATACAAATGATTTTATACCTATAGAGACAATAATCATGTGTAGTTCACAGATAATTATCTTCATATATAAAATTATCTGTATTGTCACCGGTGGTGGCATGGGCGGTGGCCTATAGCACGGTCCTATGTAAGAATATGAGTTACTCCTCAAAGCCGTAATAATATATTCCAACACTTACCTTGCCAGCCAGTATCTCTTCATCTTCCCAGACTATATCATATGGATCCTTTCTCTTGTCAAGCCTGGCAGAGTAAAATAAGATCAAATAGTAATAAAAGAAAAGTCCCTTCTTGAACAAAGAAAATTGGCATTCACATATGACAATCTAAGGAGTCACATCTTTGTTGCAAGGGGATGTTCACCATAAAAGTCCCACACCGAACACAGTTACTTTTCCCCCCCTGCCAATTGGTTTTGATTTTTTTTCCTTTTTTTGAAAGCGCCAATTGGTTTTGATTTTGAATCTCACAATTCCTCACAAACCACACCCACCCAGCTGTTTAGAAAATCAATGCATTGATTTGGTTTTAAAACAAGTCTTATAGCTCAATACCAATCATGTCTACACTCTATATCCGGAGAGCTTTCCACCCAGCTGTTTAAAAATAATGCAATGATTTAGTCTTTATTCACAGTTTGCCATTTTAGTAGGGTGATACGAAACTAGACCTACGCAGGAAAGCCGCTCGTAATATATAAGATCCAGTGCATATGATAGATAAACCTTTTAGTGCTCTTAGGGACAGTGACAATTAGAAGCTTTGGTCTGAACTTTAGAGCTTGATTCAGGAACTCATAGGCATTGGCAAAAGGGGGATTTAGCCCCATGATCTGTTGAAACATTAAAAAATGTCACTTTCATTCGAACTGTATAGTTCAATAATCTACACAAAACAACTTTATGGAGCTTACCAAATTAGACCCTTCAGGTAATTCTCCAACTTCAACACTCAACCAATTTCTCCTCTCAAAGTTGAAATCGTTCTGAGGCACAGCATCGAAAGAAAGAATATTAGCTCAAGTATAACTACAAAGACTAGATAGTTGATCTTGTAGTTTATACTTTATAAGCTGCAAGCATAATTGAGCAATCTTTAATTATGAATTACTCCCTCAGTCCCACTATTTTTTTGGGTCATGAAGGAGTGGCGCAATTTTTTTAAAGTAAGATTGTGTGTTGATAACTTGATATTGATGTTAAAAAGTAAGATAAATTATGAATGAATGTGAACCACACTAAATCAGTAATATATGACCAAATATGGTATGTGACAAAAATAGTGGGACCGACAAAAGAGGTTAAATGGAACACAATTAATGGGATTGAGGGGGTACCATTTTATCACCAGGCCAATGCTTTAAAAATGGACAAACAAACAAAGCTCACCTAGGTGCTAAAATCTCTTTGGACACCCAGCCTTTACCTGGTTCGGAGCAACCTAGGACTAGGGGTGGACATTTTGGATTTGGATTCAGTTGGGTTTCTTCAGTATTCGGTTTAAAACTTTAAAACAAGTTAGGCAAGTGATTGCCTGATTAAAACTAAGTTGGTTTGATTCTGTTTGGTTTGGATTTGGATTTTTTGTTTCAATGTTTTAGTTTTGAACACATGAACTAAATAAAAAAACACATTAAACTCCCCTTGCTTCATACCTTTATGAAGATTTGTTCAGTAAATGCAGGAATGCATTTAGGATCTCATGGAAACAACCTCTATGTTTTCAGAGGGATAAGATTGCTTGACCCCCCAGAAACAGTCTTGTGGGGATTTTATTATGTTTTGATGTTCGATTTGGTAGAGATTACGGTTTGAAAAAGCAGTACCAAACTAAACTTAAAAACATTACCCTAGCAAGAAAAAAATTCAACTACCATTATGTTCTCAATAGTAACTTCGGAATCTTAAGAGTAGTAGAATTGTTCACCTTAGGTCGTATGAGATCATAGTTTTTGAATTGACAGACTTTCCCCATTCTTTGAAGTTCCTCTTTCATCAGGATGCTGAAATCATTTGAACCACAACAAAAGTCCACGATCTGTTCAAGAAACATTTTGATCTTCCATAAGCAAATTTCATTTTATTTTTATATCTTAAAAAGTTGCTGTAAATTGCCAAAATGAGGAAGATTTATAAAAGAGTTGCTGAAAACAATAGCAGTAAAACATCTACAATGTGAAAGAGTGCAAGTGACTTTACCATGTCGCCATCTTGTACATACCACCGGAGCCTATTAACAATCTACATATTTAGAAATTAATGCTAGGTCAATATGCTGTTTGTAAAGACACCAAACTCAATGAAGAAAAGGATTATCAACGCAGATCACTTCTAAACAAAACAAAAGATAAACTCCTGCAATAGTGATGTGCACTGCTAATATTAGGACAGCAGTTGAAAGTACCATAACACTGAAAAAAGAAATGTAAGTGTGTAACACCACTATACCATCACTAAGGGAATGTTTAGCCACTAAAACCAAGAGAAAAGTTGAGGAAAAAGAAATAATATAGGGGCAAAAATGGTTCAACTCAGTTTATTCAAACCAAAAAGTTAAAACATCAATATACCTCTTTTAATTTGGCAAGTTTTGTGAAGTGTCGGCCAAAAGATGTATACCGCATGCCATTGAGAAAAGGAGCGATATAAGAACCTAAGTTCTTCTGCAGTGTACAAAAAGACATTTTTTGCAGTGTTACACTTCTGGTTGTCAATTTGTCATCAGCAACTAGCAAAACTTTCTTCTGAACTCAAATTGAACGATTTGAAGATAAACTTGCATAATTAAAGGAAATACCTTCCATTTGAAAACATGCCTGAGAACCCCAGGTTCGCAAATAGCTTTGGCATCTTCTATACTGTGCCCTTCTTCTAGTTTTCTCAGGGCTGCTCGCACAGCCTGAGAATATACAGGGACCAGAAAAAAGTATAAGGTTATACTTTTATAACTGAAAACCATGGGGAAAAAACACTCCAAATGTAAACTAACATCAACTGGAGGTTAATATACTCTGTATGTTCCAACGACATGTCAACTGATGACCATATACCTGCACAGCACGCTCCACTTTGACTTCAGTAATGGTCTTTGCATCATCAAATCTCGAGGAAAAAGTATGAATGCTTTTCCTTTTATGGTCCATGATATATTCATGTTCATCAAAGGAAGAATCAACACTTTCCACGAGTGCAAATATTCTGCAAAGCCAAATACTGCATTTAATGGAAAAGAACAAAAACTCTAAATAGCAATGTGTCACTTTGTGGAAAAAAGACATTTGAACCAAATAGATAACTGAACGTTAATAAGGCAAAGCTACAGAGCCCATAACCTCTTCTTTGTCTCATCCCGCAAAGGCCATTCACTGTTTTCCTTCACCGTCATTTCATTTTTCACCACATTTTGCTCCTTAGAAATCAACCTCATAGGAACGGCTTCTCTGGACTTGCTTATGTCAATACCAGCACGCTTGATTGTTATTTTGGGGATCTTAAGAAATGATGACCGCGATGGCAACATTTGAGCTACTTTCAGTGGGATCCTGTCTCTTTTGATTTGTTCTCCAGAAAACCTCTGGACTTGTTTCTCATGTTCTCCTTCCACAGTTCTTTTCAGACCTCCATAGATCTTACTTCTCCTATCAGAGAGTACAGTTTCTTTTCCTGGCATTTGACCAGAATTCTGCTTATCTTTACGGTCTTCATAAGGAAATAAGATATGATCTCTTCGTGGAGTGCCGATTGCAGGAATCATCTTGTGTTCCCTGCAGGCAACAGCATTACATAATGGCAAGATCCTGGAAAAAGTAGTCAATCAACCTAACTTACATGCAATATATCAAGATACGACCAGGCAATAGTCCATCCCATGCCCTTCCATCGCCTTCTTGGCTATCAGCAAAAGTAATACTCCTGGCAATTTTGTTAAATGAGGTAAAGAATTACTACCAAGTAAGAAAGTATCTACTACTCCGTATAATGCTAGCATACATGAGGAAATAACAAAAATGACGGAAACCTTGGCAAACATTTCCTATGGTATGCCTTGGGACAGCGTCTGCAAACAGCAAATTGCAATTCATGGACCTTCTTATCCTCTCCTTGTTTACATGAAACACATTTATGAGCAGGACATGTAAATGGTTCTCCATCTGCAATTTCTTTCTCAAATTTCTTGGCCTGAGCTTTATCAGATGGATACACTAGCCCTGACACACACTTTGGATGATAGAAATGGCCACAAGTTGCAGATACACATTGAAACACCTATAAAATAAACTTACTGTATTGATTAGCATATACAATTGCCCTGAGCTACAGTTGAAGGATTAACCATAGTTCAATAGTTCCACAGTTCTTTAGGATAAAGGTTAAACATATGAGAGGTGTTTGGTAAGGCATGAATTGACTAAAGAAGCTGAGGTTGATGCTTAAATTGCCTAAATGACTCATATGACTGAATCAAATGACATACTCCCTCCGTCCCACTTTAGATTACAATATTCCCTTTTAGTTAAAATTAAGAAAGAGTCAAATCAAATTTTTTTTCCTCAAATTACCCCCCAAATCCCCCCAAATAGTGTGAATAGTGGCTGACAGAAAAGAAAAGGGAAGGGTAAAAGAGTCAAATCACTATAAAGTTATTGATTTTGTAATCCTTTTTGGGACAAAAATGTGAAAGAATATTGTAATCTATTTCAGGACGGAGGGAGTATCAGTTTATCATAAAGAAAATATCTCTTAAACAAAATCTAGAAATGAAGGTAGAAATCAAATTTTCAAAATTTCAACCATTAAATCCAAAAAGGTAATTCATGTAACTATCTTTATCAGTATGACGAGCAAAAGAGTTACACAAATGGTCAAATGCCCTATTAAAACTGTATTGCGTTCATATCTTCAACTCTTCAAGTAATCAAGTTCATATATTATTATTGTGAACTTCAAGGATGCCTAAAAGTTCTACTTTGATAAGTATATATACACCCTCCAAAAACAGGGAAAAGAGAATGAACTTCACCAAGGATCTATATGATGATTATGATCCTCTTTATTGACATCAGTTCAGAGAAGATAAGGTAAAGAGAAAGTCAAACCTCAGCTGCCCCAGAAGAGTTGTCAGAGCAGCCCAATAAGCCACATGCAAAGCACTGATGCCGCCCATATTGACAGTTTTTGCAAATAAATTTCTGAATTGCCTGTGTCAACCGTGAATGGGAAAAAAAATCTAAATCTTGAAGGACAGAGATGACCCCAAACAATGACAAACAATAATTGAGATACAGGGATTTAGAGAAAATTACTTCTACTCTCTGACTAGTATAGCCAAGAGACTCACAAAGAGAATCAGCACCGGATTCTATAGTTGGGTGGAAGGATCTTATGCATCTACCTTCACAACTGCAAACCATGTAAATGATTAATAGTAATATAGAGGCTGAAGAATCAAAAATTCGGGGCAGTGTTTTCCTTTTAAGTCCTTAAAATGGGCATTTTAACAAGTTCAAATGAATTTTATTTTTTTGAGTTAAATTTTCCTTGGCGCTCAACCCCATAACTGTAAGTAAAAATGCAATTTCAGTTTCTGTAACTATTGTGTTATAACGTTATGCAACAACTTTTCTTTCCTTTAAAAAATGTTTCAACTATCAACAACATAGAAATGGAAACTACATATATTTTCAAAAACATAAAGAAAACAATCAAAACAAGAAAGAAGTCTCTCAATAAGCTCATCCCCAATATATCATTTTACCTGATTCAAATATCACAAGTTGTGGTTTGTCTCTTTTATTTTACCTTATTCATACAAATAGTCAAATAATCTATTACAATAGAAATCATGTGCATACCACAAAAGTTCGCCCCCATTATCACAAAGTGCGCATACATGATCGAATATTGCATCTTCTTCGTCGTCATCATCTGCATCATCATGATCGCCATCATCACCATCGTCACTACTGCTGTTGTCCTCATCAACTATAAATTTCTGTCTCTTAGATGCTTTGTATACCTTTGAGTATAAGCATCTTTGTCAGGTACAACATAAAAGCCGGACCAAAAGAGTAACAGGTATTTCTACAAAATGGCCTTTTAAACTTCTAGCACTGACCTCACAAGCACCTGTATGGTCCATAGATGTCTCCTCAAGAAATCCAGCCAAGTACTGTTTCATAAAATACTAGTAGTTAATTATATGCATAGAAATCCAAGCACTACAAGAAAGGCAAGCATGAAAACTCTCCTATGAGAAATAACAGTAAGCAACTCGATGACTATAAAAGTACTCTATACTAAGGAGTAAAGACACAACTCTATCTCAACGACTTTTTTGTGTTAACTGTAGGAACAAATTTCCATCCATTTCAATCAAGAAACCAAACATGTCACACACAATGGCATGTGGTTATGTTTTTTTCTTCATATCTTAGTTACTTAGATTGGTAAGGTCACCACTCAGTTCTCACAGAAGTGATCAAGTTTTTTCAGGTTATCAATCTACAAGACAACACGCGAAAACAGGTTATCAATTTACATAGCCTAAAACAAAATTGACTATGCAGTACTTGGTACCTGAGATTTTGATACATCTTTGTCCCTAAGAGCAGTGTCTCTGAGTACAGACAAGTGTTTCAACAGATCATCTTCACAAGGAAGAACCTCATATGCACTAAATAAAAAAGGACAATGGCGTTCAGTCTTAATAAAGAGTTAATAAGAGCAAAAGCATCTTAAAAAAATGGAATGCAAGCTACTGTTTCATCTTCACCTAAAGGTTTTCTTAATGTGATTCCATAGAGCTTCTCTAGATCCCAGGGGGTTATATTTCACAAAATTTAGACAGTGGACAACAGTCAAGGCAGGTTTGATGAGCACCTCATAACTCTTCTTGGGTTTCAATAGCTTTACCCAGATATTGTATTTGGGAAGCAGCACATAAATTTCTGGCTGGTGATAGGAAAATTCAAATTTCCATGCCACAACCTTCTTGTAAATTTTTTGGATCCCTTCATCTTCAACTCCACATATGAATAGATGGGTGCTTGATGAATCAGAACCCCCGCTAGAAGCGTCCCACTGAAGAGGCAAAAGAGCAAATGAAGCAGGTATACCATTGGAGTCGTAGAACAGGTAATTAGTGATGCATTCAGGAACAATTTCACCCTCGTCCTCAGATGAAGCCATGAACTGTTGGAAATGAAAGGATCAAATTGTATTAACTAGCTCAAATTTTGTATCACATGATTAGCTCCTATATATAGAAAATGAAAAACAAGTAACAACCAAAAATATCTTCTTAACAAACTAACAAACTGTGTAACTAATCAACTAAACAAGATAAATGGTGGTTTACACCAACATGAACAGCTCCCTGAAACTCAGATGACTGGTTTCACAGATTCCCTGATGAAGAACACCGAAGTGCATCAGCTCCAAAAGGCTATTACACTAGCGAACATTTAATAAACTGCCAAAAATTGGAGGAAAAAAAATGGAAAATGAAAACACAGAACTCTTACGAAATTTGTTCGTGTCGATAAAGCACACATTTTAATAAAAAATAAAAAACAAAAAACAATAGTTCAGAAATACTTTTGAATAATCGATTGAGGAGGGAAAAGCTTCGAGTTCGGAGCTTCAACAATGGAGAAGAAACGTTTCCAGAAACGCAATATACATGCAGTAACACAAACGCAAGATTACATGAAGCTTCTCACCTTAATTTGTTACCCCGAAGTTTGAAGTGTGTGGAGTATGAACAGGTTGACGAAGGTCGAGAGCAATGTCTATGGGGTAAGAGATTTTTTCAGAGATTCCAGGAAGTTGCAGAGAGCTCATAATAGAGTGCTGGCCTGCCATTTTCTGAGAAAGGACGAGTCATGGCTTCCGCCATTGTTGCTTAATGGAGAGTGATTTAGCTTTCTCTTTTTCGTTCTTACCGTATTTTTGCCATTTTTGGCTGGTAGTGAGCTTTTGTCCTTTGGTTATAGACTGACTCATATGCCTTGTTTGGCTCTTTGGGATTGAAACAATATTTTGTTTTAAAATTTATACTCCCTCATTATAAGATTATAATGCATGTTTACTATTCACATGATCAAATTTCATTCACTTTACTTCTCTATTTTCGTTAGCAAGTTGATAAAATAAAGTACTATTATCACTACTAGTTTTGTAGATCTTTTGATATATTATTTTAATATGTAATTTTTATTTTTTAATTATATATCATTTGTCATATAAAATGATTTGAAAATAATTTCAATCAAACATTGTAAATCGAAATAGGCGTTATAAAATGGGACGAAGAGAGTAATATTTTTTGTTTAGTTTGGAGTAACTTTTTTTAAATGAGAATAACTATATGAAAAAGTATGTGACAAATGTAATTAAAAAACCCATGAGCCTCTTTGATTAAGGAGAATTGGGTACCGATCCAATACCATGTGTATAAATATGCCCTCCCACCAAAGAGAAGGGGATCAGGTTCTGATTTAATTAATTCATATTACAATCTTCTTGTTGTAGTTCACGTTACCCCACCCTTTAGAATTCATCGGGGTGCATTAGGGACATTGGTGTTTTATTATTACTCCCTTCCACAATTTGAATAGCACTCCTCAATTTATAATGTTTGATTGAAATATTTTCAATTCATTTTTTATGAAAATTGGTAATTTACATGTAAACTTCACATACAAATACTACTTTCCTCCTAGTGTATTTGTCCAGTTTGATTTTTTCAAGTCAAATTGCACAAACTTTGAATTCTAATTACTCTCAATTTATATTGCATAATAGCATAATGAAATATAATTTTGAATGTTTCCAATATATTATGATTTTTATTTAATTGAAACTCAAAGTTTGTCCAATTTGATTCGAAAAAATCAAACTGGACAAAAAAACTATATTATTTTTTGGAATGGGTACTATAAATAAGTAATAAAAGTAATTATAATTTGACTAAGTGAATACTAAACCCACAATTCAAATTGGGATGGAGAATGGTTATTGAGAAAGTAAATTATTATGTGATCCTAAAGCCCACACTTATTTTATGGACCTTAGTATATAAATACCATATATATATTGGGCTTTTGAAAAATCAGAATATCCCCTTATTGACCCATAAAAATGTAAGAAACTCTACATTTTACATGTAGACTTTAAAATCATAAAACACAACTCTATTGAGAAAGGGACATTGGTGTATTGTAATTTTTAAAGTTGTTGTTATTGTTATTATTATTATTATTATTATTATTATTATTATTATTATTATGGCCCCTTTTTTTGACAAGGAGAGTCATATTATGACAACAAGGCCTACAATGCTTCATTCAAAAAATTAATGGTTCTTACCTTCTTAATTCACTATCCGCTTCCCAGCATCTCCCACTCTTAGCCCAAAACGCCAATTGGCTACAATATTACTGTAGCCAATCGGCATTTTGAGTGGGGATAGGGGGCTGCTGGGGCAGGGGCAAGGAGGGCACTAGGAGGTTTAAAAAGGGGTTAGGAATTATCAATTTGTTGAACGGAGCACTGTAAGCCATTGTTGGCATAATATGACAACAACCAGGCCCGCCCATGAGGGTGTTCTTGAGGAGGTGCAATTACACAGGGCCCCGATTGCAAGGGGCCCATTTTATATTTTGATTTCATTATACTCCCATATTCTTAATTTAAATTGAATGTTTATTATTCATATGATTAAATTTTAGTTTTTTTCTTTTTTTCCAATTAATTTAGTAAAATAATATAAGCATATCACATCTTGATTTGTAGAATTTTTTATATAGTTTTTAAGTAAATAACTTTTATTTTTTAATGTAACATAGTTTTTAAATTAATTGATGTAAAAACAATTTCAATCAATGTATTCTGAAGTAAATAGTAATGGACAAATTAAATTATGACGGAAGGAGTATTAGAATAGTTAGTTGATTTTATTTTCACTCCCACAAAATGTTTTAAGTTGCCTTTTTATTGAAATATTTTGTTGTTGGTATTTTTTAACCACATAAAATTTTAATCCTCATATTAATAAGTGTTGGAAAATTTTTACAGAAAGGATGGATTATGTTTTTTAGAGGAAGAATGATATTTGAATTAACCTTGTAACCATGTTATCCTTACTTTTATTTTCTATAAGTTATTATTCTTTTTCGTTATATATGTATTGTTATTTTTCAGAATTATTCCATTCAAACTAGTTTATTCTATTGGTTCTTTCTTCTTTGACGTCTTTTAGCTAACAATTTTAATTTAAATGTCTACCAATAATAGAGCTACTTTGAACTTTTGATAAAAATTGGACTTTTAAGTCTGTAAATTCAAGTTATAATATATGTAATGAAATAAGAATAAAAAATATACTTCTGGTACAAAATATACTCAGTAATTTTTAATTTTAGAGCCTAAAAATATAAAAATGCACAGGGCCTTCGACATTGATTGGGCGGGCCTGACAACAATGATTGTTGTCAAAAAAAGCCCACCTGTTATGAAATTAATGATTGTTCATTTATTCAATTAATCAGGACTAATTTCTAGAATAGTAGATTAAGACACTCATTGATGAGTATCAATTATGTACAGTACTTCCCACTTGTATTTGTATCCATACCAAGGCTCTCCACTATAAATAGAGGCCTAATCCCTGCATTGTAATCATCATTAAGAATAAGAAGAAGAGTGAAGAATTAATAGAGAGAAGAAATCAGAAATATATTATATCTATTCTCATAATCTCTGAGTAGTTTTTCTCTCATTTTATAACACGTTATCAGCACGAATTTGCTCAAAATCCCAGAATCCTTGTTCTTCTCAGAAGTTATTTAATGGCCAACATCACCAAAAGAGAATTTGACATTCTTGATTTATCCAGTCAAAGGTACCTGGAATGGAGGGTTGATGCACTTGCTCACCTTAAGGCTAATGGCTTCGAAAATACAATTGCTGAGAATAATACATCATCATCTCAGCAAAAGGCAAAAGCCATAATTTTCCTTCGCCACCACCTTCATGAAAGTTTAAAATCGGAATATTTATTGGTGGAAGATCCGAAGGAATTATGGGATAATCTCCAAGAGAGATATGGACATCAACAAAAAGTCTTATTGCCAAGAGCTCAATACGAATGGATTAATTTAAGATTCCAAGATTTTAAGTCCGTTTGTGACTATAATTCTGCTATTTTCAAAGTCACGTCCACATTAAAATTATGTGGACATAATATCACTGA